TTTAAGTGGAGAGAAAATGTTTTGAGAATGATGTACAAATGTGCTTTACACAATTGATGTGTGTATGGATTGCGATAACAGTTGTATGAACCCCTAATAAAATGTTAAAAAAAAAAAGATAGCTACTAGATGCACAGATCAGGTTTTAAAGAAGCTTAATATTTTGTAGAGGAGATAAATAAGTCATATATTTACATGAGCCCATAACACTTGATTAAATGCTTAGGAGATGTTATAAATTACTAAGGACGCTCAATGGAATGAGATAATCTCTCTGAAGTCAATTTCGGGAGGAAGTTTCATTTTGACTGGGTCTTCAAGGATACGTTGATTTGGGACATGAGGTAAAGAGAGAAAGAGCGCAGGTTCAAGTGATATCGTGAGTAGAGGCAAGAATATGGGAGTCCTGGCAGGGAGGGAGACAGGCGTCTCTGAGGCAAAGTGGGTTGAATGTTGGGCTGTTAACTTCAAGGTCAAAGTGGGTTGAATGTTGGGCTGTTAACTTCAAGGTCTCTGGTCCAGGGCCACAAGCTGCTCGGAGGGAGAAAGACGAAGCAGTTTACCCCCGTAAAGACGGATTGTCTCAAAACTTCTATGGAGTAATTCTATTCTGTCCTCTAGGCTTGCCTTGAGTTGGACTTGCCTTGATAGCCGTGGGTTTGCTTTTGGTTTGGGCAGATTGGGGGTAGAGTGAGTAGTTCGTTTGTTGGGAACCTAGATGTGTGAAGAGAAATAGTGAGAAAAACTGCGAGGACAAATTGGAACCAGATTACAAGCCTGACAGCCAGGCTCACTTGTTTGGATTTTATTTGGAAGGCAGTCAGGAACTACAGAAGGCTTTGAAAGAAGACCAATTGCACCCGGCACTCCTTGAAAAGATAACTTTGGTAACGAGCCGTGCGATGGATTGAGGGCATGAGAGGGATAGACCCGCTGGGAGGTTACGCTGATATTTTAACAGTTTATGAGTGGTGGTTTCAAAACTATATTTTAAACATGGAAGCCTGTTTCTGGTTTATTTCTTTAAAGAAATGGCTTCCAAATCAGGAAGAGATTCAACCCCAGCAGCCTTTCAGGGAGAGTCACCCCCGTGGAGCACTCCCTGCTGACCTGAGAGCACTTGCTCCAGGCAGCGTGTTCGATGCCCTTCTGCTGCAGTTTGGAAGATCTGGCTGTTTGTCGACAGGCTCACCCTGACCAAGGCCTTGGATGAAGCAGAGCTGGCCTTTCCCTAGTCTTTGGTCAGGACCCTCTCCCTGTTTATCAGATTTCAGGGGATATGTGGCTGCCTCCACTGATTTTCTCTGGTTACTCTTGCTTAGAATCTCAGATCAGATACCAGCCAAAGGTCAGCATGTAGGTCAATGCTTCGATCCTTCCTCCTCAAAGCAAGGCCTCATGTACTCTCATTGTGCAGAGAGATGCCGTGGCTCTGGAATCGGGCTGGCCAAAGCGAAATAATGAAAGAGGCAACATTTGCTTTGCATTTCTGGGCCTCGCTCTGAATCTCCTTGTTCAGGTTTCTCTTTTACTTTGACTTTTCTAGTCCACACAAAAACCTACAGGCTTGTCTGTTTTGTGTTTCATTCATTCATGGTCTTTTTTGTTTTTGTTTTTTTATATAATTTCAGGGTCTCATTGCTTTTTAACTGAACCCTATCTGGGAAAAAAATCTAGGAAGGGCAGCCTTTCGGGGAAGAATTTTGTGGGGCTATTTGGACAGGAACCACATCATACTGTGCAGGTGACATTTCCCTTGCTTATAGTGGAGGTGATCACACCTGGGCATTAAGCAAGTGAGGGCTTTGGACCTCCCCTGTTCTGAAGTAGTGAGAGAGAACCCCTGCCCCCTCGTCATCAGGGAAACTGAGTTGGTGGAGCAGAGAGTGATTCAGGAAGTTTGTGCTTACCAAAGTTTAGTCTGAGAGTTGCGAGGAAATGGATCCGAGAAAGGTTGAGAAGCCGTGGTAAAAATCATCCAACATGAAGGATAACTCTCCTTTCTTCCGACCCACTAAGTCAGGGGTGGTTAAGAACACTTGCCCAAAGTCTTCATCTCGAGAGAAGTCTACTTAGAGCCACATGGCAGCATGAACAGTGTGTCTTTCTATAGACAAAGGAAAGAAAGAGTGCGGTTGGGTGGGAGGTAGTAATGAAAAAAAAGTATGTGGCGACATGGACAGGAAAGTTCAAAAGACAAGAAATGAGACAGGTCACTTGGAGATAGGCTCTTAAATCTTGGTTATCATTTCTGCTCCTTGCCACGAGGGCAGCTTGTAGATCTATGAGTGCATACAGGATAATGTAATGTACGCTCTTCTGATCCTTTGCTTGGGAAGGGGTGTGGCTTTAGCACAGGACCCTGCATTCCAGGGGGAACCTGGAAGCTAAGGTAAGGAGGGTTTCCGTCTGGGTCAATAGGGCAGATGCCAACCAGAGGGAAGCAAGCTGTTCTCATTCAGGCTTATCTGAGCCCACATCTTCAGTTGAGCCCAGTCAGCCCTCAGCCCTCCGAGTGAACAGGCCCCAGGACCCCTTTCACTTCTCGTTAATCATTGACTCCCACTTGTCCCAGTTTCTCTCCTTCCTAACCTCTTTCCGCCCGCCCCGCGTTGCCAATCCACTGAGGTCTCTGGAGATTTTTGACTATTTTTCCCCTTGGAACATTTATTTTATTATTGCACATCTACACTTATATGTTTACTTCATGAATGGGAAGTGGGGAAAACAAAACTCTAAAGGATTCTTTTGGAATAGTGCCCCACTGGTGTCGTTTAGAGCCCAAGGGTTGGGGAAAAAAATGATAACAGATCTGTGGCTCACAGGTGTTTCCTTACCTTATTTCTAGGACATTTTAAGGGTTAAGTAAAAAGGTTCATTTCTGATAACTTTTCTGAAAGCAAGACTTTAAAAAATCAGTGTGTCTTCAAAACAGAAACCCTATACATGTTCTTTGTTACAATGATCTCTTCCAGTTCCTGAATCTGCTCCTTTTATTAAAAACATCGAGAGCTCGAGTCCTGACACTGTGGAAGTCAGCTGGACCCCACCCCAGTTCCCAGGTGGACCAATTTTAGGTTATAACTTAAGGCTAACCAGCAAAAATCAGAATTTTGCTTCAGGGACACAGAGAACCAGCTTCCAGTTTTACTCGACTCTACCCAGAACCACCTACAGGTAAGAGGGAAGTGCTGCTAAAGAAAGGGTGTGGTAAGATGTGCCAAATCCAGAGCCCGTGGGCGGCAGAATCCTACTCAAAAGGGAAAACTCAGTCCTCTTCCAGTCTGGCTTTCACAGGGTTCACTGTATTTACTTTTTAAGTGAATTCAAGAAAAGAGTTTAAATATATTTTGAGAAGCTCCTTGGTTGATATGCAGTTGAATTGAAGTCATTGTGGGTTTCCTCAAGTTTATACGCTTACATTCTGAGCAAAACCATCAAGCATATCTAGAGTATTCAGAAGATCCTTAAAATATGGACCGATCAAGACATTGCAGACGCCATGAATATAATTCCTTCATTTGCTCCAACTTGAGAAATGCAAGGAGGTCAACTTCTGTTAATGGTATTTTTACTAACCACTAAGGGGATCGTTTAGACCGTTTATTGTTGGCTTTTCCAGCATTTGCTCAAGTCCCTGTAAGTGAGGGAAGCCATGGAAGTCATGCAGAGAGCAGAGTTCCCTTTCTGACCTCTGTGTCCCTGAATTGGTCTATGGGGAATGCAAACAAGGAGGTGATTGATGGTCATTTCAGTGCTGAGCAAAGGCACCAAGTAACTAGACCCTTGCATTGCCACATGTCCTTTAAATAGAAATGCTACTTGCTTCTTGTATTTTCACCTCATGTTAACACCATGCCATGTGAATCACAACCCTCTAAATGGTTTTTGGAGCAGGTTTTCTATTGCAGCAGTTAATGAAGTTGGTGAGGGGCCGGAAGCAGAATCGAACATTACTACGTCCTTCCCAGCAGGTATGGCTCAAGGATGCTCCTTCGATTACCCAGGAACTGAGGGGTGAGGAAGGTGGGATCAGATCGCTGAGGCCCTGCCAGGGTCATCTCATGAACCTCAAATGAAGATGAGTTTGGGGGCACTTAGTAAATTTTCAGTTTTTAAGTGAATCTAAGTAACTGACAAAAAAAAAAAAAAAAGAGGAAGTGGTTAGGTGGAAATCTTTCACATTGAGGAATTTAGAAATTATAATGAAAAGATTACAGGATTAGAAAAAATGGCCTCCGACATTGTTTACGATGAAATTACTGTTAACTATGACTCTCATTTACACATTTACAACAAAAACTCATATTTGATGCCGACCAGTTGATAAGTCTGTAGTGACCCTACAGGACACAGTAGAGCTACCCCATAGATTCCAAGGCTGAAATCATTACATAGGCCAGTGGTTCTCAACCTTCCTCATGCCGAGACTCATTCCTACAGTTCCTCATGTGGTAGTGACCCCCAACCATGAAATTATTTTCATTGCTACTTCATAACTATAATTTTGCTACTGTTATGAATCATAATGTAAATATCTGATATGCAGGATGTATTTTCATTGTTATAAATTGAACATAATTAAAGCATAGTGATTAATAAAAAATCACAATATGTAATTATATATTGTGAAATATTTATTTCTAATGACAAATAAATGAAATTTTATCTTGAAGCATGGTGTAGCATGGGTAATGGTGTTCACGCCGGGTACTCATGTGGGGGTATCTGCATGTTGGTGGACCCGCCTGGAGACGGAAAGAGGAGCGGTGTCTCAGTTCCTAAGACTATAGGAAAGATGTGTTTTGTGATGGTCTTAGGCGACCCCTGTGAAAGGTCATTTGACCCCCAGAGGGGTCGAGACCCACAGGTTGAGAACCACTGACATAGGCAGTTGGTTATGTCGTTCCCCTAGAGAGAGACTGGGGGTTTGAACTACCAACCACTCGGTTAACGACTGTGGTACCTAGGCTTCGTTTTGCACACTTCAGAGAAAGAGATAGTCTTTAAACCTTAGTTCCCCTTTTTTACATTATGTATTGCCATTCAACACTGATCAGATGTATTCTTTTCTTAAGCTGTTCTAATATACCCAGTTTCCTTAGGGGTTTCAAATATAGCTAACTTTAATAATTGACAATTCTGAGTGTTCCATCTATCAAGTTAACTTTGTCACTATTTTATAAGAATCCATTGGGCTTCAGCATGTTAGCAATTGCCTCAAGAGATTGAGTACTCATTGTGTGATGCCTGAGTGAACAGAATATTAAATGAAAATTATTTTTAAGAAGTGCAGGGAATTCTTTGGTGGGAACCAGTAAGAGAGTTTTTATATAAGATCTAGAGCCCCACGAGTCTGTTTTCAGCTTTCACGCGAAGCCTCTTTCCTGAGTGATGCCCCTTGCCCTAGTCTGCACGCAACTTAACTTATGCCAGTGGCTCTGTCACAAGCCTTGCCACCGTTCTCTAGGTTTAGGGTGTCAACTTGTCTAGGAAATGAAAGGCCTTTTTGTTACGTAAGAAGTTTGTCCAGTGAGAGAGTTAAGGGCTAAAATTGCTGTCACTGTGGTTATTGCATAACTTTTCTCCATGGCCCTCAAAGTGCACGCAAATACACCAGCGTCACTTTTCAGTCCAATAGGCCATCCCTTAGAGTCCTGCAGTCCTCAAATTTCATCTCTGCGAGGATTGTTCTGCCTCCAAGGGAGCGATGCTAAAGGCAAAACAGAAACAACCAATGTTGGTCTATAGACGTGTGCGTGCTCTTCTGCCTGGGCACGCACACGCAAGCACGACAATTCTCATGACTGAAGATAATGAGGTGAACTCTGATTAGAGCAAGACTGCTTAGGATGGAGATATTTCACGTGATGCTATACTGGGGCTCATCAAAGACATGCAGACATACATCCCACTTGATTGCTGCAGTACTTCCTACTCTCACTCATGGAATGATGTGAATCAGACCGTTGATGAAATGCCTCAGTGTCCTCTAAGCCAATTTGACCAGCCTCTTTCAAGTGTAGGTCCTTGCTTTCAAGGGTGTCACTGGATGAGACAAATAATGAAACAGTTAGTTGCTCTGAGCTTGGTTGATAGTTCAAATCCTCCCAGAAATGCCCCAGAAGAAAAGTCTGGCCATCTATTTGACAGACTATCGCTGTGGATATTCATATGGAGTATCGTGCTACACTAATGCCTGGAAGGTCTCCTTGAATTTGAATGGACTCACTGTCAACTGGTTTTATGGTATTGGTCTTTTTGTTTTAATATGTATACTATCTATCTGTCTACAAATCATTTTGTTTTGGGTTTTTAGTTCAAGAAGAAGAACAGTGGCTGTTTTTATCCAGAAAAAGATCCCTAAGAAAGAGATCTCTGAAATATGTAGTAGAAGAAGCACATTGCCTTCAGTCAGATGGCATACACCATAATATTACGGGTCAGTAAAAGCCATAACAATTAAAGTTTTGTCAGCACTTATTTTCTCAGTATGATTACCTATGTGAAAAAAAATCTGCCTTGATTTCTGCTTTCATTTCATTATGTAGAATAAATGTGTTCCCTTCAATGTATGCTTAGGTGATGTATAATATTGGATATTGGCTCTTCTAGGAGTATCAGTTAATGTCCACCAGCAAGTTGTTTATTTCTCTGAAGGAAATCTCATATGGGTGAAAGAGGCTGCCAACATGTCTGATGTGTCTGACCTAAGAATTTTTTACAGAGGTTCAGGATTAATTACTTCCATCTCCATAGACTGGCTCTATCAAAGAATGTATTTCATTATGGATGAACAGGTTAGTCTGAGAATTAAAATGACTACATAGTAATACATATATGCATAGCTCATATTTAGAAGTAAACATATATTTTTCCATTCCATAGACATTCATTAGAGACTTACTATGTTTTGGACACTAAGCTAGCAACATATCATAAATCTGGTCTGTAGGAGAATCTCAAATTTATGAAGTACTTGTTCTGATCTGCTATGTGATTTTTTTGAGTCATCAGTTCTTACTAAATCATTTTTTATTTATAATAACTCATATAATGTAAGATAGGGGTGGTACCTGTGTTTTCACTAGACAACAATGTCAATTACAATCAAAATAATTTGTAAATACTTTAAACTATGTAATAAAGAAGGGATAACTTCCTAACTCTGAAAATGCAGCATTCCTAAAATCATTGGGAAGACATAGTCTTGGACTGCTTGAAGTTCTTTCCTTTCTTTTGTAGGTATAAGCTTCTCACAATGAACAAATGCTATTATTACAGATGGAAGCCCATAAGCTGTGAGACAGCTTAAATATTAAAATAGTTCCGTGTCTCCACAATCAAGCCAATGAAATAATGCATTTGTAATTTATTGAAGCCAACGAGATAAAAATTCATTAGTATATAGAGTATAAAGCTGCCTTTTAAGGACTTTCTCTTAAATATCTTCTAGATATTATTTAAGGATCACTGGTGGTACAGTGGGTTAAGCATTGGGCTGCTAACCACAAGGTGAGTGGTTTGAATCTCCAGCTGCTCCATGGGAAAAAGGTATGGCAGTCTGCTTCTTGACAGATTCCCAGCCTTATAGACTTCACAGAGCAGTTCTACTCTGTCCTGTAGGGTCACTCTACGTTGGAATTGACTCGACAGCATTATCATTATCATTATTATTGTTCAAAGGAAAAGGCCCAAGCAATTGGCACAGTTCCATACACAAAACAGATGCTCAGGAAATAGCTGTGAGATATAAAAAAGTAAAACCGGGTTCACTGCCTTGAGCCAATGCTGACTTATAGTGACCCTATAACTCTTTAAGGGAACAGAAAGCCCAGTCTTTCTTGCATGGAGTGGCTGGTGGTTTTGAACTACCGACCTTGTGATTAGCAGCCCAAACCGTAACTACTCTGCCACCAGGGTTCATCATAACTATGGATGCATTTTTCACTCTCTAGGTATATTTCTGTGATTTAGAGAATTGCTCAGCCATTGAGATTACTCTTCCCTCTATTGCTGCACCTCAGAAACTTATAGCTGATTCTTACAATGGGTAAGTGCTTGTATTAATTCTCTTTCACTAGTAGAATCCTTTGGGAAACTTGCTTGCTAGCAAAACATCAAAGTACCAGATGAGCCAATCGTGCATCTTATTTTAGGGAAATTCATTAAATCAGGGCAAAGTGTTCATGTTATGGAGCTGGGAGAAAATTTCCTTCCAACTTGCTTTCAGCTTCTTCTAAGTTTCTCTCTCTCTCGCAGTAAAAGATGGAGCTCTGGAGAAGACCTTTCGCCGGGAACTCTTGGGCTGGGGTTTGTCAGAACTCGATCTCATTTATGGAGAGACTCAGAGTCTGTTGCTCCTTCCTCCCACCCCCTCCTTGCTACCCACTTTCTGTGAGCAGCTCCACCTTCCACAATCACACCTTTTACCGAGCAATTCAGATCCAGTTTCCCTCTCTGGTTTGGTGTTCAGGTCATGAGGTTGGTTTACCCACATACTTGCTAGGACCACCCTAGAAAACAGGACTTGATGTTTAATAACAAATTATGAAAAATAACTGGCTTTTTAAAAACCCTGTCACAAATGAAATGCACACACTTTTGCCCAGTTGTGCTGCTAAATTTCAGTAGGACCCTGAGCATGTGGCTTTGCTTGTGACGTTTGGTTTTTTCATCCATGTGGAGAAGAGAGTAGGGAAACGAGGTGTGCACTGCTATATATTTTGTGAACTCCAAAACAGTACATGGGCGCAGAGGGCAGAAAAGTGAGACATTTCTCTGAGGTTATTATTTCTTAAAGATGACCAGACAGTAGTCATTTAGTAGCTAGTGAGTCAGACCAACTGTTGTAAGAATAGACAGTTCTCCTTGCCACGAGGAACAAAGTTGTTCCCATTTTCAATGAAAAAGGATTCTGTAATACTTTAAAACACTTTCCATGACTTTATCTACTTAAAAACTATTAACATAAAATCAAGAATTTATGCTCATACTTTATTACAGATTGATTTTAATCTCTCAGGTGTCAATGAATTAGAGAATGTTTAAAACAATTTGTGACACAGGGCAAATCTTTTGGACTCTGTAGATCACATTTTAAAGATTAGATTCTATAAAATAAAATTTTGTTGTTGGTAGTTGCACAACATAACTCATCCTATGGATAATGAACTTTCTCCAATAAATCTGTTATTCAGAATGCATCTCAGTAAGGTCTTTGATGACTCCTTTTTTTATTAGGACAAAATTGATTTGCGCTGGGATTGTGATATGGGAATGCAATGAATAATGATAATCAATATTAACTGAACCTTTCATAGGAGCCCTGGTGGTTTAGTGGTTAACTGTTAGGCTGCTAAATGCAAGTTCAGCAGTCAGCCGTTCCACAGGATAACGATGGGGCTTTCTACTCCGGGAAAAAGTTAGAGTCTCAGAAACTTACAGGGGCATATCTACCCCGTTCTCTAGGGTCACTGTGTGTTGCCATTAACTTCATGGCAGTTAGTTTTGTTTTGTGTTTAGTCCTTCATATGGCTCTCTAAGGTACACTATTTTTAATAATTCATTTAATCCTTGTTCCATCCTCTAAAGCAGTAACTTTTAAATTCCAAATTTATAGCTACGGATAGCAAAACGACAACAAAAACAAAAACCCTCCCAAACTCACTGCCATTGAGTCGATGCTGACTCACAGAGCAGAACTACCCCGAGGTGCTTCCAAGACGGTAACTTTTTCATGGGAGTAGAAAGCCTCGTTATTCTTCTGTGGAATAGCTGATGGTTTTGAACTGCTGACCCTGTGGTTAGCAGTCCAAGACCTAACCCACTTTGCCACCAGGGTTCCAACGAGAGGCTGGAAACCAGAAATTTGAAGTGCTACCAACCCAGGGTGTTGCCAAAATTAAGGATTTACTAAGCAAAAGTATGCTCTCATTAACATCTGCCTCCATATCTCTAATTCTACATACGTTAAAATTAATAGCTTTATGTCTTAGTTAAAATCTCAATCATGGGCTTGGTTAATCAATGACATAGGTTGGCAATGTGTGCTTCCTTTTTTATGATTAAAATATCAACTGCACCATCACCCTGAGGTTTGGCTTTGTCACAGGTGTATTTTCCTCCTCAGGCCGTGTGGTCCTCCTGCGGCCACCTGTGCTGATTTCTTCAATGTCCATACCGTGGTGGCCCTGTTGTGAGACACAATTGTAATGCGAAGACAGACTTCAGGTCACTGCAAATGCAAAGTCCTTGGGCAGGATAATTACAGCCCAATAGTAACTACAGCCTAAGAAAACACATGGCTTAGATGGTTTGCTTTCTTCCATTTTATCATTCACAATGTAAGGGAAAATGGATTGAATAAGACTTGAGAATTTGTGTACTGGGTAGAAAAATATTTTATATTAATTAACATGTTTAGTCACATAATTTTACGTGTGACTAAATGATATAATTTTATATGATGTATTTTCTATTTAAAGTATACTTTGTTAGGGAAGTCTTTGGGTACTCTTTCTGTTCTTAAATTCGATGATGCCTTGAGACAGTCATCTAAGACTTCTAATAATTGGAACACTCAGAACTACAAATTATGCTGAGGTTTGTTGACGGTCGTAACATAACTGAATAGACCCCCTCTTTAGCAATTACCCTGGGAAATCCTGCACGGAGGGCCTCTGGAGACACATCGTTCTTCTTGCGCAGCAGGATAAAGCAGTTAGCTGACGCGGTTACTCATCCACTCTGCTCGCAGTCACACCGGGCTTCTCTCGTTCCTCTGTCAGGTACGTCTTCTATCTCCTGAGCGACGGCATCTACCGAGTCCCTCTTCCAGAGCCATCTGGTCAGGACTCAGCCGCAGTGCGGATCGTGGAGAGTTGCGGCTTAAAGGACTTTGTCGTCAAGCCGCGGTCCAAGCGAATCATCTACTTCAATGATACCGCCCTCGCCTTCGTGTCCACGTTTCTCGATGGCTCGGCTTCCCACCTGGTCCTGCCTCATGTCCCTTTTGCGGATGTGAAGAGCTTTGCCTGTGAAAACGGTGACTTCCTGGTCACAGATGGCAAGGCCGTTTTCCAACAGGACGCCCTGTCGTTTAACGAATTCATCGTGGGCTGTGACCTGAATCACATAGAAGAATTTGGGTTTGGTAACTTGGCCATCTTTGCCTCTTCGATGCAGCTGCACCCTCTGCCGGGCCGCCCTCGGCAGCTCTCGGTGCTCTTTGGCTCCTACAAGGCCCTTGTGCAGTGGAGGCCGCCTGCCCTCGCCATAGGAGCCAGTGAGTGAGCCTCTCCGGGGGAGGGGGGCGGTTACTGGCCACGGTCAACTGAGAGCTTAACCTTGGGACTCAGCTTTGAGAGCCTACCTGTAGTTACTCAGTCCTCAACCCCAAGTCACTACCGAGCTTAAATACACTTTTTCCACATTTCTTCTGCATTTCTTAGGGAGTTTTTTTTGCATTAGATTTCTATTATTTCATATGTGTGTCTCAACAGAACACTGAACATTTACTGAATATCTACTAGGATCTAGGCACAGACTTTCTGGACAGCGTGACTATTTGTCAATGAGTTAAAGCACTTGCGTTCAGATTTTGAATCCACTGAAAAACATGCGTAAACCCCAGCCTTTCCCTGAACTCTCTGAACTTGAATCTCTCTAGAGTGGGTAGGTGGGTATAGTGGGTAGGTGGTGGGCTCTGGAGCCAGATTGCATGAGTTCAAAATCTGTTCTTACCATTCATTAGCAGGGTGATCCTGGGCTAAGTTCCTTAACCACTCTCTGCCTCAGTTTCCAGAACTTGAAAGTAGAAATATTATATTTTTCGGTGGGATTATTGTAGAGATGAAATCAAGATCCATATGTAGAACAATTAGAGTAATATGTAAAATAGTTGGCAAACATTTTTTTATAAAGGAAGGGCCAGAGCGTGAATATTTTGGATTTTGTGGGCCACATGGCTTCTGTCAACAACCGTTAGACTTTGCCTTTGTAATCTAAGAACAGTCATGGAGATAATGTAAGTAAGGCACCATGGTGGTCTTCAGATCAACATTCATTACAAAACCAGGCAGCAGGCTCGATTTGGGGCATGTTTATCAATTTCTGGTCTATAATATAATGAGTAATCAGCAAATACTGATTTTTTGTGTGTTAATAGAAAGTTAATTATGCCTATGCATTTCATATTGTAAAGTTGAAAATGCATAAACAGCTTTTTGTGGCTTGTTCAGACTTCTTGGTAGAGGGTCATTCATGAATTTTGGCATGTATCTTTAGGGACTCCTTGTAAAGCATCTATTCACTAAGAGCCGGGTGGTGCTGCTTGGTGATTCAGAGAAGCCTGCTGGCTAGTCTGGATAGCCAGGCATACGGCTTTGACCCAAAACATCGCCCTCCTATTTGGAAAGAATGTCTTCCTTGATGAAGCCTAGGAGGAGTGGACACCATCCTGATCTTTCTAACTCGATATTGTAAGACTAACCTTTGTAAGCAGCGAGACAAACACTATTACTGCCATTTACTTACCCAATCCGGATGAAGCTGGAAATGAATTTATTGAAATGCTCATGCCGATGTTATCCTAGTTAGTGATATTGCTTTACTCTTCCAATTAGGCCCTTCTGCCTGGCAGAACTGGACTTATGAAGTGAAAATATCTAGCCAAGACTTCTCTGAAACCACTCATTTTTTCTCCAACATAAGTGGGACCATGCTTAACGTGCCTGAACTGAAGAGTGCTACAAAGTACCAGGTGGCAGTGAGGGCAAGCTCTGGAAAGGGGCCAGGCCCCTGGTCAGAGCCCTCGGTGGGTACTACCCTGATGCCAGGTGAGAAAATGTTCCCGATTCAGGGAGTGCTTCTGACAAAAAGAGGTTAACCTCCTGTGTCCTTTAAAACAGCTAGTCTCAAATGTGGTGAATAAATCAGAATGAGGATGCATTGAGCTCTTCAGTATATAGTTATATCCTGAAACTATGAGAGAAAAAATCCCCACTTTGTGATATTTAATTGATGTTTCTGACCTGGTATTATAAAATTTCCAAAATATTCTTGTAGAAGCAATATCAATTTCTTCTTCCTTATGGATTCCCACCAGCTCATGGCTTATCAAAAATGATATGCTTAGAACTCAAAAGGTCTTGCTGAGGGACTGTGAATTATGCTGAGTTCCATTGGTCAGAAGAACTTGGAAGTATAACTACCATACTGCTGTTGCTGTCACGAAGGCTTCTGGGTGCTCTGGGTGAAATCACAGCAGTTAGTAACCAAAGCAAGTAACAATCCGGCCCTAACCATGGCCGTAGAAGCAATATCACTGCACAATACTCTTCACATTCAAGATCAAGTATTTATGTAGCAACCAGAAAGTATGTTTAATGTGACAGCTAATTCTAGCAAGCAGAAATGATTACTCTTATCTTCCCAAAGTGTTTGTTTCAACTATAGCTATCCCTTTACTCTGTATAAGATGTGTATAACTGAATGTTCTAGATAGAGTGGGTGGATACATGGAGCAACATTCAAAATCATCAAAAGACCAGGCTTACTAGACCATAAGGCACTCTTCACTCCTTGTACTGAACTCACTCCCATGGTTCAGCTTTCATCCCAAACAATACACAGACCCATTCGGTGAGCAGTACTACCAGGGAGGTGTGCACCCTGTAGACCAATCACCCATACGATATCAAAGGGGCAGCATCAGCCCAGGGAGAAAGCTCATGGAGGAAAGGACAGGAAAGAAGAATGAATGGACATCGTAACCACAGAGAGGAAGTGAGATGGCCACTGCTACACTGTGGGGATTAAAACCAATAGCGTGAGACAGTGTGTGTGGACTGTTGACTGGAAAACCAGTTGTGTCCTGTAAGCTTTTACTCAAATCACAATAAGATATTTAAAAAGATGTGTAGCTGAAAGAATGCAATTGATATGATATTTCTTTTATCTTCTTTGCAAACCAGCTACAGAACCACCATTTATCATGGCCGTGAAAGAAGATGGGCTTTGGAGTAAGCCATTAAATAGCTTTGGCCCAGGAGAATTCTTGTCTTCTGACATAGGAAATGTGTCAGGTAAACACCAAGTCCCCTGTTCACTGAGATGGCAAGTTTTGTTTTCCATTTATAAGACTTCCCATGTTATTCAATAAATCACATAATTGAATGATTAGGTCGACCCTGCTTTACAATATCAATGGACTATTTCAATACTACCCTGTTTCCCCGAAAATGAGACAGTGTCTTATATTAATTTTTACTCCCAAAGATGCACTAGGTTTTATTTTAAGATGTCTATTTTTCCATGAAGAAGGATACAGTACATATTTATTGTTTATTGTTTTATTAAAAGAGACTTCGCACTTCCTGTCTGCTCTGGCTGCGCTGCGGCCAACAGTGAGCTGTGCAGCGGTGCCTGCCCCTACGGTCCAGAGTCCAGAGTTATGGTCACTTCATGAAGTCTTATTTTCGGGGAGGTCTTATTTTGGGGGGGATGCCTTATATTTCAGTGAGAGGCAAAACTGTAAGTAGGTCTTATTTTCAGGGGATGTCTTAATTTGGGGAAACAAGGTACTATTAAGAAAATATCAGTTCTCAAATGTGAATGCTATTTATGACTCACGGAATTTGAGATTATGATTGGTTTATGTTGGCTTCAGAAAGGTGCTAAAATATTCCACATATATTTTAAACTATCATTGTTCTGGCACATTAATAAATTATGTTCCACTAAGATAACTATACTTAAGACATTAACTGTAAGATCGGGGCAAGGAACTGCTGCATAACATGATTATAAGAAGTGATTTGTTGACCAAGATTATCATGTAGTATATAGATAACTTTGCCTATATGGAAGTAGAATGAAGGAAAGTCTTCCTTCTATGATATTATAGCAGTAATATTGCTTGAAGATGCTATCTTCTATCATTCATTTGCTTAGTCATTAGAAGTACAACAGCCTTGCTGGCTAGTATAAGAGGTAGGCATATTAAATAATTGGGAAAAAAAGAGTTATAACAGGTATGTTAATAATGGAAATACTATTTTCAAGTTGGTCTGAATAGAGGGTCTCCTGTTTTTCTTTTCTTTTTTAAAAATCATTTTATTGGGGCCTCGTACAACTC